CAAGGATTGATGACAGGAGGAGAATGATTGTCCTGAGAGTTCCAGGACAAGATCAAAGAGAAATAGTAAGTTCAATAATCACATCACTATATAATGAAGATTGATTTCAAGGATTTGAGTTTAGTGGTAAGCAGTCCAATAATCATATTACTATGTTTAATGATTCTTCTGCTATTGACACTTCTCATAACTTCTTTTCTTTTCTTTTCTTTTGTGTGTGTGTGTGTGTGTGTGTTTTTTTTTTTTTTGTTTCTAGCATGGTGTTCTGCAGTTTACAGGATTTGCCCCTATCGAGAGATTGACCGTAGTTTATAATCTGTTTAAATTCCTTAATTTTGCAATGGCATGTAAGAAGGGTAATGAAGAACATAATGGCAGACTTACTTTTCAGTGGAGATCAAGATCAGATGGGGTGTACAAGTGTTCTTTCTCTGTCGGGGCTTCAACACCAGGGCGTCTCCTCGCTAATATTGTGATCTATGGGGTTTGATCTTGTGTTTTTATTGGCTTTGATTTGATATATTGATCTACCTTGACATGTTCTTAGAGCAAGTGATTTTTGTTCAAGGTAGGGTATGAACAGTGGCGAAGCGCACCCCCTTAAATTTGAAAATCTTTATAAATTAGTATATGAAAAATTATCTTATCCCCCTAAAATTAAAAAATTTTATAAATTAGTATATAAAAAATTATCTTGTCTGCCCTGAAAAAAAATTATGGCTTCGCCCTTGGGTATGAATGCGAAACTTGGAATACATCACAACAATAACTGGGATTTTGTAAACAACATACATGTTCTCAAGTTTACTTCCTTTTTTTCATTTTATGAAAGACAGGTTTTGAGCAATATCACACACTTGGAATTTGATATATTTTATGATATTCACTTATATATAGATTTTATATATTATATTTATATAAAATTATTTTAATTTTTAATTATTAACATTTATTTATATTTATTAAAAATAATTATTTTTATTTAAAAAATTATGATGAATTTCAATTATTAAAAATAAAAAAAAATAAATATTTAAAATTTTATATAAATATAATATATAAAATTGTATATAAATGAATTCTTTTTCTTATTTTTTATTTATTTATTTCTTTTTCTTCTTACAGCATATCCATAGAGTGGAACCCGCTGAAAGTAACATACCATATGGAAAAAGTTCTCAAGATAAACATGTTAGAAGTGAAGATGCAGTGAAAATGGCCAGAGAATTGGCATTGAAGGAGGGGCTCATGGTAATAATTAACTCAAAGGCTGCTTATTTCTTTATTTTTGCGGTTTCCATACATTTCACTTGAGGTAAAAAGCAGCTTGTCTCTCTGCTTACTATGGCTGAAATGGATTGAACCATATTGTATGGTTTTGGATCGGATATGAATCTAATTCAAAACCTTGTGTTAGAAACAGAATAGAAGAAAAAACATTTGAAGAAAGATTTATTATCTTTTTGTATTTATTATGTGTACAAAAGTTATAAAGATTTATACAATAAAATATTTTTAGATATAATATAAATTAATTTAAATGTATATAATCAATTACAATGTAAATATAATATTTTAATATAAATATTAATATTCTAAAATAAATATTGATATTCTAATACCTTGGTTCTTGGTTCCTACCCTTGATAAAAATATTCACAGCTTGAAATCCGTACCTAAGATAAGAGGTGAAATTCAACATTGTTCTACTCGGAATAACTCTCTGGTAATTATGTAACATGGGTTGGGATATCATCTGGGGCCAACACTGTTGCAGCACTCAAACCTGCAAGAATGCTTGAGAGCAAAGACAAACTGATTGTGGTAAAAGTATGATTTTCCCACCAACTCTACTTGGATCTGGAGCAAACCTTTTATGTGTTAGCCATACTTTTCTTTGATAATTAAGAGAAGCTTATTGGTTCATAGCATACAGAACTTATCTTATTATTTAGCATAAATGTAACTTAGTCACAATCCTAAGCATGACATCTTATTGGTTTAAATGTCAGACGGATCATGCAAGTTTCGGAGAGCGATACTTGTCATCCGTCCTGTTTGAGGAGCTGAGGAGAGAAGCCGAAAACATGCAACCAGTTCTAGTTGACTAATGCCTGATCAATGTTATTGCATTTTTATCAATTCTGATGTAATGTTGAACTCGGCACTTCGGTGTAGATTTAGCAACTGTTTGCATCTTGAATTTTTGCACGACCAGTGTATATAATGTGGAGAAGAACAAAGATGAGTATAAGCGAAGGGTCTGCACCACCCCATTAGTTTTTGAGTTTCTTTCCTTGTTGTATATTCCAAAAAAAAGTCTCCTAGTCCTAGTCCTGGAAGTCAAAGAAATGCAATAATTAATAACCGGTTAATTCTAATTCAAATGGAACTTTGCAATTATTATCACTATAAATACTAAGCTAACTTCATCGACTATCTTGTTTCGTTCATCAATTATCTTGCA